TTTGACTGTGTTGCCCTGGTCGGTCGCTCACGCCGTGTGGCGGCCGCAGTTTGATTGTCGCTGGTGTCGCCAGGGGGACTCGTGTTCTTGGCGACGCTTGGTCCTGGGTTACGAGGGAGCGACATGTTTCCCCGAGCTCTCCCGTAATGCGGGGGCGCTACCTGCGCAATTTCGAATTCGGATGTCGGTGAGTCCTCCTGCCGCTTCGCCCTCTCGGAAACTTCCGCGCGGACTTTGCGAGTCCGACGCCGAGGCTTGAAGGCCTCGAACCAACCACCTCTACAGCAAAAACCCGACGGTCCGGTCACTTCATGAGGCTGATGACGAGGCCTGAAGGCATCGAACCCACCACCTATCCCTCAAACCCATGACGGTCGGAGTTTCTGTCTTCCGCCGCCATGGCCCTCTCCCGTTGATGCCTTTTCCCGTCCTGATGCACGGCGGCAGTTCGTTTTTGTGGAAACCCTTCTGATTTTATCGCTCTGAAGTGATCCGACCCCCACGGGACTTCGCGACGACAGTTCGACTCCGGGGTAACCTCTGGCACGAAACGAGAGCCTCCCGTTCCGTCCGGGAGACTCAACCCCTACGGCCAAAAATCCTCGGCCACGCCCCTCCTAGAACTCTGATCAGCGACCCAGTACGGGAAGCCGCGAGGGGGCGTGAGGTTGGTATCAGAGCTGATTCGTTTCGGCTCCGAGGTTTTCCTAGGACGATTACCCTGTTTAAGAGTTTTTCCTTTTTGATCTTTTTTTTTAGATTTTTCTCATTTTTGAGTAGGCTGGCTCCCCGTCGACGGTGGCCCGTGAATAGCAATTAGAACCGAGCGAGAGGCCGGGCTCGAGATCCGCCTCCCTCGATGGTGGAACCTGGAATTGGGGGTGGAAACGACGGCGATAACCTCTCGAGGATGGCCAATCATCCCCTGTATTTTGTACCTCCTCCCTCCGAAGTTTCCATTTTCTCCGAAGATGATACCGACCCTCGCACCTGGCTAGCTGCCTTGAAAGCCCAGGGCTGGTCGGACCAGTTGCTCCGAGAATGAATTCTCGGAAGGTTAGCCGGAACCGCTTTTGAGTGGTATGGACAGAACCCCTTCACTAATTGGTTAGCGTTCCAGAGGAAATTTCTCGACAGATTTGATCACATCGCACCAGGTCAATGCCTCCGTCTAATAAAGGAATACATGCAGCAGCCTCGAGAGACCTTGGCTAGATATGTTGAACGTTTTACGTACCTAGCCGAACGCTCCGGGGTGGACGAGAAAATGGTACGGACTGATTTCGTCAGACGATTGTCAGATTCTCGCCTGCGGAAAAAGATCCGCAAGAAATGCAACCCTATAGAACATACCCTGACGGAGCTCATTCAGTACGCCATCAAGTATGGGAAAGAAAATTACGATGTTGGCCTGGACTCAGAATCCGATGAAGACGACCCTTCAGGTGTTCGACGCAATAGCTACTCCGCTACGGCACGAATGTTCGACGATCGCTTTGGGTTGGGTCCGGCAAAAAAAGGCTCGGATCGGAAAACTTTTTCCTCTGCTTCGACCTCCCGTCGCTCTAGTCAAGCTCAAGGAGGCCGGGGCGAGGAAGAAGTATCCATGAAAGAGGTCGCGGCCCAACTAGTTATGGTAGTGGCCCCGTTGACAGAGTTTATTCAAGGTTTGCAACGGCAACGCATTGCTGCCGCACAACGGCAACAAGCGGCTATGGCCGCCGGGGCCCCTATGATGAGACCGGCCGTGGCCGGGGCTGTCCCGCCCCTACGCTGTTATAACTGCAATCAGCCAGGCCACCTTGCGAAAGATTGTCCGAAACCTCGAACTCAGAGTGGGCCCGCGGGGCCCACCGGACCTTCCCAAATCCCGCTGGCTGCTCCAACCGCTGCAGGACAAAGGAGGGTAGCCACGGTGATGGATATTGGAACAACGGAAATGGTGACCCCTGCGGCCACCGAGATAGGGCCCGATGAGTACATCGCTGCGGTGATGTTCGAACCTGGGACCATTGGAGTGATACGTCACGTCCAAAGGATTACCGAGGAAAGCGACCTCGGGCCTTGGCGGCCGGGGTTCGAAGATCTCACGACCCCTGGCCCTGAGTACAAAGACGGTCACATCGACGTGTTGGATGCATTGAAGGCTCTAGATCTACGGATCCCCGTCCCTATTCCCTATCTGCTAACCATTTCCGAAGCGGCTAACGAAAAGTTGATCGAACGATGCCTCAAAAATAGGCGCCGATTCGAGGAAAGTCGAAAGGGCAAAAAGCCGGTCCTACGAGACCTACCCACAAACGAGGAGTCACAGCCCTCGACCTCCAAGGTGCACGAAGCCAACCGGATAGGACTGATCCAGACCGTAGATTCTACCTCGGAAAAACCCGAGGTATTCCTCCGAGCCTATCCTATAACCTGGAAAAGCGTTGAGTGTGACTGCGAGGTCTGGGGAAACCCCTCGGCCGCCATCCTAGACTTGGGATCGTCAGAGGTCGCCATTTCTTGGAGATTGACGAAATGATTGGGAAGGGAAGGACAGGTTCAGCCCTTCCGACCGGATGAACTGTACATATCCGCTACGGAAGACAGCATTCATTGTAAAGGGCGGATAACGAACGTGCCTATACAGGTGGGGCGGGTGTATTGTTTGTGCGATGCAATCGTGCTGGATGTATAGGCGTATGATGTTCTGCTAGGCATTCCGTGACAGGCGGTGGTTGGAGCGCGAATGCACTTTGACAGCTGTAAGGTGGTGCTCACATCGGCTCACCCCAAACCACAAACGATACCAATGAGATTGGCGGTGCGTATGCGCACCCAGCCGACGCCTCGAATCACCACGAAAGCCCATCAAATCAACATGATCCGACGCCTGTCACCAGGCGAAAATGAAACCTCGTCGGAAACTGACGAGACTGACGGTCCCGACCGATATCCGATTCGGGTTTAGGATCGGTGGCGCCATTCCTGGCGACGAGAACCCCTGGAAATAGTTTGGAGCGAGTCCGATTGGTCGCACGCGTTCTCCTCCGTGGTGCAGGGAGAACCCATGCTGAGGGTGTCGCGAATAACTGGCCTTTCGGAACCCCCTACGTCCTTATATCTTAGGACGGACCCCCTACCCGAAAGTTTACGGAGCTCAGGGGGTTGTGCGATTAACTTTTCGGTCTCCCACGCCCCTGCTTACAAATGCAAAAGTCGCCCTGCTCTTGAAGGAAGGGGTGTCATTTCAACCCCGGACAAGGGAATATCAATGAAGGTCGAAGGAACAGATACAGGCTTTTTCAGTGGAACCCTCGGCTGAAACCGAGCTCGAGAATGACAGTGACATGGAAAATGAACCGATAAGCCTCGCAGACAGTCAACTTATCACGACCGTGCTTTCGGCAAAAAACGACTACTCTCTGTTTGGTGCCTCACCCGAAGCTAACGCGGCAGTCCCTATGGTTACGTCGACGATCTCCCTCCCTGAGGGAAACGTGGACGTCCGGCTGCCGGCCCATGTGCCTAATGACTATAAACGCCTTCTTTTGGCAGTTTGTACGGGCCTACCTGGAGGCCGTCAGTATCCAGGACCACGATATAGGACTTACCCACCTGATCCAACACGCGATTGATACCGGTGATCGCGCTCCAATACATTGCCGACCGTACCGTTATTCCCTAAAGGAAAGACAGCTGGCCTTGGAAAGGGTACGGGAGTTCGAGCGGTTAGGGTGGGTTGAACCATCGCTGGGACCATGGTCATTTCCCGTGGTCCTCGTGCCAAAACGAAACGGTTCAGTCCGAGTTTGTATTGACTACCGCAAATTAAATGCTATTACTACCAAAGATGTCTATCTGCTACCGCGGATTGACGATCTGTTGGATGCTATCGGGTCCGCTCGAGTCTTTTCAAAGTTCGATATCCGACACGTTTTTCACCACGTCGTAGTCCGACCGGAAGACCGGCCCAAAACCGCTTTTGTCATGTTCGAGGGCACGTGGCAGTGGATCCGGTGTCCCATGGGAATTTGCAACGCCCCCGCAACATTCCAGCGGGCCATGAATATGGCCTTCACCGAGTTCGTTAACAAAACCCGTTTGACACAGCCGTTGATAAATTTCTGTGTGATTATGTACATGGATGACATTTTGGTCTTTTCCAAAACCTACGAGTACCATGTGGAACATGTCGAATGGGTGTTGCATGCGTTGAAAGATGCGGGGTTCAAAGTGGCTCTGGAGAAAAGCGAGTTTTTTCTGTCCGAAATTTTCTTTTTGGGCTACATCGTCACGGTCGAGGGGCTGAAACCAGATCCCAGGAAGGTAGCAGCGGTTCAAGAGGCCCCGGCCCCGGTCACGCTCACTCAGGTTCGAGCCTTCCTAGGCCTGGCCTCTTATTATCGACGCTTCATTCGGAGCTTTGCCTGCCTCGCCAAGCCACTGACAAACCTGCTGAAGAAAGAGGAGCAGCTGATCTGGACGTCGGAATGCGAGGCGGCTTTTCGGGCACTCAAGGAGGCTCTGACATCGGCACCCGTGTTGGTGCGTCCCGATCTGACAAGACAGTTTGCGCTGCATACCGACTGGCAGCCGCAGGCGATATCAACGGTGCTGACTCAGCAAGGAACGGATGGAAGGGAGCACGTCATCGAGTATGCGTCGAAAACGCTAAGTCAGGCCCAGTCGAACTACGAGGCGTGCAAGGGTGAGTGCTTGGCGGTGGTGTGGGGGGTTCAACACTTTCGACCGTATCTGTACGGGCAGAAGTTCGTGCTCGTGACGGATCATCAGCCATTGCTATCATTGCGGAACAACACGGACTACACGAGTACCTTGGGAAGGTGGGCGGTGAGATTGCAGGACTACGACTTCAACATCTGCCACCGCGCCACCAGGCAGCACGGGAACGCCGATGGTCTGACGCGCCTCCAGCCGCCGAGCAAGAGTCCCGCGAATGAGAAGCTCATCCCGTGGAAGCCGATTTCGCCTTCGACGGAACCCGGCTACGGAGAGGTGAATGTCCTCCGCAAGGGTACTGCAGCAATCGGAGATGGCGATCTCCCATGAGGAGGCCACCACCCCTTCTCCCCTTCCCTACTCTTCAACCCCCTCTCCTGACCCTGACTCCCCTCCGAGCACGCCTTCCCAAATCTGTTTCTTCTGCACCTTGCCCATGATACCGACAGGGGGAGATCCTCCCCTTGAGTGGCCTAGCTTTCTTCCCTGGGTACAATGTAGTCAATGTCACATCGTCCGGTCCCATGGGAATTGTGCCCGGTATCGGAATGAAAAAAGTTGGAATTGTCCCAACTGTCGAACGGACCACGTACCTACAAAAAAATGGTATCTTGAAGCTAGAACGACAGACGGATTTTTGCCAAGCGTCCGCCGAGCGGAAGTCTGGACGGATCTTCTGCTATTACAGAGACTGACAGGCGATCCGCTGACGGAACTTACTAAGGCTGAACGGCGACCTGTCACGGAACGGGCACACGATTACCGCTGGCAGGGATCCATCCTACAAAAACGAAAAGACGATGACGTCGACGGATCTAGTTGGCTGACGGTTCCACACCCACAAGCCAGGTTCGATTGGACACGAGCCGCCCACGAGGAGGATGCGGTCCACTTTGCAGTCAAATACACGGAAAAAGCAATAGAGAAAAACGGATGGTACTGGTCGGGAATCCGGGAAGATGTGAAATACATCGTCCGGACTTGCTCGGCCTGCGCGACCGATAAGGCGCCGATACAGATGCCTCGTACAATAGTGCCTACCCGGGTAGAGCGCCCCTTCCAACGGGTCAGTATCGATACGACGGACATCAACGTGCCGAGAGGCCCTGTTGATAAAGGAGAACTCAATGTTCTTCTTGTAGCCGTAGATCATTTCTCGAAATGGATCGAAGCGTATCCAATGACCAGACGGAACTCGCAGGAAGTAGCCTGGTACATTAATCGCTTTTTGTCCATGCACCTGAACGTAGAGAAGATACATATGGACAATAGATCCGAGTTCCAGGGGGAAGTAGAGCAACATCTTGTAAGGGCAGACGTTAGAATTTCATACTCCCCAGGGCACTGGCCTCAAGCCAACGGGCTCGTAGAGAATGCCGACCGAATGATCAAGACTGCACTTAGACGGAATATCACGGCAGGTGATACCAGGCCCTGGCCTGTCATAGTCGACCACATTTTGGCCGTCTATCGGGCTACTCCCCACGGGAGCACCTGGGTGTCCCCATTTCAACTGAGAACCAATAGCGTCCCCAGAGTCCAGTTGTCACCTCTAGTGGGTACGGAAGTTAGAGTGACCCGGGCCCAACACAAGGACAAGGCCCAGCATTACCTGGATCTGATGGCCCGGACCTATCCCGCGTTAGCCCGAAGACGACAATGGCAAATCCGGGACTATGAGAACCGACACGCGACAGCGGGACCAATGCCCCGTTATAAAATCGGGGACTTGGTGCAGGTACGGAAATCTGCGCGCTCCTCCAAGATCCACCCACGCTATACCGGCATTTACGAAGTGACGGAAGTTGGCGCACAAGGACAGCACTCCGTGAAGCTGGTCCCTCGGCATAGCACGCAGGCCAGGTCGCTTACGCGACACGCGGCGGCTCTTCGGCTGTTTCGGCCATCTCCGGGCCGCGAATCGGCTCGTGCCCCGCCCGAGCCTTCGTCCTCTCTCTCCTCCTCTCCTTCTTCGTCTTCTTCCTCTTCCCGATCTACCTCGTCCCTTGGTGCTGAGAGTTTCAGGGAGCAGGATGAACCATCGCCAGCCGGAGCATGAGCCCCTCGAGCATTTCCAGACGCCGCTTGCAGATCGTTGGTGCCACAGCTCCCCGCGCTTCTTCCTCCCGCTGCCCCTCTCAACATCCAAGCTATTCCCCCTGCCCCGTACTAAATGCCTCCCTTCTTTTCTTACACCACTCTCCCCTATCAATTCACGGAGGGCCCTTATCCTATGCGCGAGTTCTCGAAGTATTTGGTGGAGTTGACTGACGTAGAGCCGCTGCCCTTCGCAGACGAAGACGCGTGGGACTTGCACCGTGCGCTGTACAAGTCGGTGGCGTTGGGGATGTTCCGATTCTTCGTGGATCACGAAGACCACTGCATCGGGGAGCACTTCATCGTCTATTACGTCATCACACGGCCCAAGCAAGCGCAGAAGGAGGGGACAGTGGCACTGTACCCATTCGCCCAGCTCCAGATGATCGATCCGGGATTGTTGGAGCTCATACATCTTGAGCTCCTATCCATTGCGCAAGTGATCGCGAGCGAGGAAGAGGAGATTCAGCCACGATTGCGGACGGTGGCTGCCCCGCGGAGAACGTACAACGCGGTCGTCATCCCGGATTACATTGCGCAGCGCGAGGAGAGGTTGGAGGACTTCCCGGAGGAAAAGCCGTTGCGACCTCCCTCGTCGTATCCCAGACCGGCGCCGCCAAAGGCCCCCAAGAAGACGCCGAAGAGGAAGAGACACCACCCGTCGCCAGGAGCGCAAGGCAGCAGAATCGGTGGCGGCGAGGAGGTGGTTCAGCCCGCGCGCACGCGGAATCTTGATCCAGTGCCTGGGAGTGGGGCGACGCTCGTTAAGGAGACTGTTGTGCCATCGCCGCCCTTCCCGCGCGTGCCCGATCTCAATCTTGATGGAGCCGGGCCATCAGCCGCCGCAGCTGGAGGAGGAAGCCGAATTGGATTACCGGATCCCGTATCCAGACCCCCCGTCCTCGCGAGACCTCTCCGCCAGCCACCCCGGAGTGCCCCGATCATTGACATTAGCAGTTCCTCCAAGCCGGACGGTCCATCCGACAGAGGTGGATTTCATGGTGGAGCCCACCACCATCAGGCTCGAGACCATCGCGAGGGCGCCGCGCCCTGATCCGGTGTGGGAACCATATCTGACACCCCCTTTTCAAGGGTGCATCGCGGCGCGACTGGCGGGGACGCTCATCTATGAGACCGGGCGGCGTCCCAATGTGATGTACCACTTCTTTGTCTTCGTGGCGCAGAAGCGGGAGCGGCGGCCTTACACCGAGACTCATGTGGTAATGACGGGTCCAGGACCCCGATCGGTGCACAAGCGGGTGGTGTGAGCGGTGGCGGATCTGGCGCCACGTGTCCTGTCTCATGTGTCGGGGGCCTTCCTCTATCCTTCGTTCGTCCAGCACCACTTCCATGAGGAAGACGCGCCGCCGACTCCCGCCGCAATGGCCGCTTTTCTTCCACCTATTCCGCCCCTTCTCAATCCCAACATCGATCACTTCCTCCGATCACCCTCGTCTGCCTCTCCCCTCTTCTCTCCTTCTCTTTCTCTTCATCATCTTCTTCTCCTATGCCCAAAGTTCGCGCGTCGAGACGCGCTGTATATGAGAAGAAAAAAAATAATTAAGTGGACTACTTACCGATCGGGCGAGCTGACGATGAAGGGGCCGCCCGATCAAATGTATAATAAAGGGAGATGGCTGACGATGCGAAATGCATCGAAGTAGGACAGGAGATGCTTGGGCCAGCTGACGAAGAAGAGGCCACCGGAGCATCAAAAATATGATGACATCAGCAGTCGGGAGACTGCTAATTTTTCGGAACCCCCTGCGTATCACAGATGTGATAAGCTCAGATCCGTACCGCACGGCTTCCGTATCCCTGAGGAAAAATCCCCCGGAAGCCCCGAAGTACGGATGCGAATAAAAAGGGGGTTTTCTTTCTTTTTGCTTTTGCTTTCCTTTTTGAAACGGCTTTTTCATTTTATTTTATTTTTTTGGCTAAATAACTCCCGCGCGGGCGAATAGTGGCCGCGGTATGAAAACCAAGAAATGGTTTCGGTTGGGACTTTTTGAATTTTTGCGCGCGCACGCCTAAGCTCCGATTTCTTCGCGCGTCTCGCACCCCCATTTCTTGCTTTGCATCCCCGCGTCATCTTCCTTTCTTGCTGCGCGCGTTTCCCTCAAGCCGGACTCTTCGTCTTCCCCTACGCCCAGCTTGATCCTTACCCCGTCTTCCTCCGCGAAGTGATTGGC